TTCAGCGGGGATCCAACATAGAGCTGCTCTATAAATGAGGCAACATTATATCAAAGGGCAACAACACAATACAAAATTAAAATTTTGTAATTTTGTATTGTGTTGTATTGCAAAGGGCAACAACAACTTGCATTTATATAGTGTCCTTCACCCATTTCAGAGAGCTTAACAAGGGTGAAGCTTAACGCTGAACTGGGGAGAGAAAAGTGACCTTAGGCACAATCAAAGAGTTTTTAGGTAATAATATATATATATATACACACACACAATAATCCTTGCATTTGATATAGCACCTTATGATGGCTTCGAGACATCTCAAAGTGCTGCACAGAATATACTATAAAATGAATTGACTGTATATTTGATGGGCGAAACGCCCAGAATAATTGCTGATTTATTTTCCCTGCAGAACACGTTGAAGAGATTTGGGAAATTTTACCACATACCATCCCACCCTGAACCTATTTACCACAAAGTTCAAGTGTACTGGCATGGACATGCACGGGTATGTTTTGTTCTCGTCAATTAATAGTGCTGTTTAGAAACACCAGTAACTAGCAGTACAGTAGCCCTGACCAAACAATACTGATGCCCTTTCAAATTCTGCAGTTTTGTGCCAATATCCCGGTGCCTTGACATTACTTAAGCTTGAGATATCCAAAGCAAACAGTGAACTTTGCCAAGAAAGAATGAACACAACTAGCTACGTCTTCACATCCTGGCTGAGTTGGTAGCACTCTGAGTGAGAAGGCAATGGGTTAAAGCTCCACCCTGTGACTTGGAACTCATGTAATGTTGGTTGACACTTCAATGCAAAGTTGGGATTGTGCTTTGTTGTTGGAGATGTCAAACTTCAGATGGGACATTAAATCAAAGCCTCATCTACCTGTTCGGGTGGACATTAAAGATCCCACGACACTATTTGAAAGGAATGTTCAGGCAAACAATCCCCTAAATAAAATTGGTCATTCACTTCATGGCTAGTTGTGGGACATTGCTGTGCACAAATCGGCTACCACGCTCTATTATATATCCTGTTAAGTGCTGTCTGATGTCCTACCATTGTGAAACACACTATATCATATGAAAGGATTATTATTGTCATTCTGTGCGATGAATGCCCTTGTGCTTCAGTGTTCAATAATACCAATTTGACGTTAGTGTAGTCCAATTCCTGAACCAAACCTTCAGTCATTCAGGGTGAAAAGCATCTGTGGTAAGTTTAAATAGAAAACAGAACAATTTTGCAGAAATTCAATGAAACCTCATCAAAAAGAATTGAAATAGCTGTAGTCTCGCCAATCCTGAGACAGTGAATGGCGTGAAAGTTCGCACTCCTTTAGTTTATACACAGAAAGACAGCAGGACTGTTAGGGAAAGTGCTGAGGTTTAATTATCTTTGTATACATATTATTAGTGGCTTGTTACAAAGTGGCATCTGCAGAGGCCTGGGAGTTGGTTGCTGCCCCTGAAGCACACTTGCTTATCCATCGCTTCAAATAGGGAATGGTGTGCGGCACAAAAATGAGAGAAAAGGAATGGAGCAAGATTCAAAATACACAAACCAGATAACTTTGCATAGTAACACATTTAGTGCCTAAATGTCAAGAGCTATATCTGTCAAATATCTTAGTGAAATAAAGAAAATAATTACATTAGAAATGAGCCTTCAAAGTTTCAGATTCAGCCATTCACAAAATCAAAGACTGATTCTAATACCTCACAGTCTAAATGTCTCTTGATGTATAATAATAATGCTAATTGCACACAGAAATACTTCTTGACATGCTTTGTACCATGTGGGAATAAGGTCAACAACCATTTTTTAACTTTTTATATATATATGTGTGTGTATAAATAATATACATTATATATTCACACACAATTTTCTCTTCCTTGAAGGCACTGCCTCATTCTTGCATACAGTTGCATGGACAACCTCGTAAAACCTTACCAATGCAGCCATTCACCATTTGTGGGCTCAGACAAGGAGTCTCAACACTATTCAACTATGGGGCCATCACAGAATTGAGCCCAATGCTGTTCCTCACCTGATGTTCACACAAGTACACTTTCCACAAGGGATTTAGTGGTTAGGAATCAAAGACAGGAGGAACTCTGTCTGATTCAACTCCACTCCAAACTGAGGTAGTGCGAGCAATTCTATTAGCTCCAAGGTCATCCTGAGTGAGATCAACGACTCAATCAGCACAGACTGGGCATCAGACCAAAGATGTAGCTCTGTTTACTCTAGAAAGTAGTCTTACCAAATGAATAATTGGGAAATACTTGACAATATATTTTGGCCCAGATTTCAGCTAAGACTGAGTAAAACCCACATCCGTTGCTTTAAGAATGGAATAAGTAAGGCCTTTCCTCAATTATCTTTCAAATAAAACATGCTCTATTGGACACTATCCAATAATCTCCTGAGGAAAATGGAAATCTTCCAAGATGACAATGTTCCCAAATTCCTTTTTAACCTCAAAAACACACAAAGCAGGTCATTTCTCATAGTAACACACAAACAGTGCCTAAATGTCAAGAGCTATATCTGTCAAATATCTTGGTGAACCAGAGAAAAGAAATACATTAGAAATGGACTTTCAACAGTTCTGGATTCTGGTTGAGAAACAGCATTGGGCTCAATTCTGTGATGGCCCCCAAAATGCTTCGTCCACAAGTAAACAAAGATGCCATGATGGTACAGATTTAAAAACAGTATTATGGCAAATCATCTAACACAGTAGTGTTTGAAACAACAAGGAAGAATAAAGGAAGAATGATTATTCAGTAGTGTTGGGCATCCAAGCTCCAAAACAATTTTTGCACGGATGTGAAGAATAATCACTTCAACCAAATTATACAGCAAGCACTTTAAAATGGCAAGTTACCTCAATTGATCACTGTTCAAAGATGGGGCTGCTACTCTAACTTCCACTTAACTACATCCATACAGTGAGGGAGCAGGTGCTAAGAAGGCAGTGTGCAGACCTCACTAAACAGGGCAACTAACGCCAACATCCGCTGATTAAATGATTGTGACCTAAGTTGCTATTCAGAGAGCAAATGGTGACACAACTCGACAGTCAATTTATGAAGCCACGACAAATAATCGCAAATTAGGTTGACAACAAAGCAAACCAAAAACAAAACCTCACACATAATTACAGCAATCATCTCTTTTAGCAGCCACACAATCTCCAAGACACAAACAGTTAGTTAAAACAGGCAGTGCTGTGTGCTACACTGAAAGAAGGTGGGCATACACACTGCAGCATAATAAATGGAGAAATACTAGACCCTGGGATAGGGTGAAGCACATGTAGACAGTTTGTTGTTTTGCCTTTTGTAGTCTTTCTTCTAGATTTCCTCTCCAATCCAATCTTATTAATTGCAAATTCTAGGCTGACAATCCATCAAAGAGCATAGACGCACTAAATTGTTGGGAGCTGCCATCCTATGGATCAGGCAATAAACCAAGGTTTCATCTTTATAGTCAGATGGCGTTAAAGATCCCGTGGCATTATTTTAAAAGAAGAAGGGAGTTTCTCCCTGTAAATTATGTAAATTATTATATTCTTGAATATACAACAACAACTTGCGCTTATATAGCGCCCTCAACTTAGGTGCCAGTTGAGTGGAGGCGCCAGGTGGTGGATTGGGGAGTGAGGAGGTCAGAGAGGTAGGGATGTGCCAGGGAGTGAATGGATTTGAACACGAGTGTGAGGATCTTGAAGTCGATCCATTCAGTGATGGGGAGTCAGGGGAGCCTGGCTAGAATACATTGAAGTCCAACCTCTGTACGCTTGCTCTTCTCTACCATACCTAGTAAAACATGGTTAAACCCTATTCAAAACACAACACAAAAATGAAGGCAATAGACAATAGCAACAAACTGCATTTATATTGCGCCTTTCACTTTGGGGGGGACTACCCAAGATGCTGAAACACGTGGAGTAAACTATCATAGGTAATGAAAAAAGTAAACTTGTATTTTTATAGCGCCCTTCACACGTGTTACATACTAGTGACACCTAATAGAAGAACATCACAGAAAAAAATACATTGCATTGTGGATGGAGGTTTTTTGATTGGGATGACGGGAATAATCAACGATCTGTGAGTACATAACAAGCCACTAACACACTTGCGATGCTGGAATGACATTGTATCACAACAGCAAGGATTGAGGGGATTAGACACAGGCAGACATCTGAATCCCAAATAGATTATCATCTCAAATACTCTTCTGAATATATTAATTTGGTGATTATTTAATTTTCTGAATCTCAACATTGGGAATGTTACCAGTCAAATCTTGCATTAACTCCACTAATAATCCTAATTAAAGCTGCAATGTTTGTTTTGTGTAGGTTTGCTTTCTCCTACCACTACAGACCACCAAGAGGTAAATAGCTCATGATTTAATCCTCTGATTTAATCACTCTGGCATCAGAAACTTGTCATGGGGGTGAAAAAAGGTAAGTAAACCCATGTCCTATTAAGTACCATAATTAAACTCTGAAGTGCTGTACCTCCAGGACTCTTGTGTCACTGGCACTTTGAAAAACATGTACAAACCCTGGACACTAAAATCTTTCACCACGTATCATAACAAGGGTGGTTTATTACAGCAGTCAGTTAGTTTTACTGAACCACTCATCAAGATTATCTATTTACACACAAATGTGTAAACAGTTAAACATCACAGGAAACTAAGTATGAAATAACCCACAGCTTGCAGAGCATTTGGCTTAGTTTCATAGCATCCGTTTCTAGAAAATTACTAATAGCATGGTTAAAGCAATCCGGTCAGGAAGTTGATCCAATGTCTATATTTTTATATAACATTATAAGGTAAAAGACACAAGATCCAAGTCCTAAAAAGATCTAAGAAAAAGTACAGGGAGAGTACTGGAATGCCGATCTGGAGATTCACAACCTGGTTATTTATTATTATTTATTGAACACTGAGTTTTGGGCAGCTCAATCATTACCTCCTTCAGCTGATCAGCACTTCCCCACGAAGCAGAGCGCTGATGTGTGCTTTTCTTTTCTGTTCCTTCATCTGACCAGAAACTCGGTGTCTGAAAAGTGAGAACAAAGCCATTTTTTTCTCTTTTTTTAAAAAAACATTCTGTACATAAATATATAAAGCAGAAAGGCCAACATGCCTCTTCAATTAGTTGATGAAGCTGATGCCTAAGCCCTAAGAGACCATTCACAGCAGCATTTGTACAGGTACGACAAGAGTTTGGAATACAGCATTATAGGAAACAATTACAACCGGGTTCTGTTTACTTAACCTGTATGGAAAACATATACTATTCTGATGAAACAGTTAACATTTTTTCCCTCTAACACATTCTGTGTTTCCCCAGTACTTTTTTAAAAATCTACAATGCACATTACTGTCTCCCATTCACCACAATTATTCTCTCCTGAAGCCTTTGACTGATTTACACTTCAGTATTTCGCTTTCCTCTACAAAAATCAAAAAAGGCATTCCTTTGGATGAATTGAAATCTGACACTGAATTGAAATCATTGTTCTTTTATGAAGCAAGCAAAACAGAATCAGAAATTACAGCACAGAAGAAAGTCATTCTGCTCTCCAAAGCCTGCTGGTGTTAACTTCTCCCACTGGGGGTAATACTGTAATTCTAATTTCATGCACTTTCCCCATACCCTTCCATATTATTTTCTCTTCAAATACACACTAATACGTACTTTCCTTTTAAATGTGGTTATGGTCTTAAAACATGGAATGCTTTCCCACAAGTATATATTGAGACTAACAATTTTGTGTGGAAAATACAACTTCCCTGCAACTCTTCAATGAGAACTACATTACAGAAACAGGCCATTCAACTGACTAGTCCATGCTGGTGCTCAAGAATCCACAGGAGCATCTGCCTATTTTAATACCCTCTCCCATACCCCTCAATCCCCCTCTCCCTCATGTATGCAGTGAATCTTGAGCTGATACCCCCTCTCATCAAGGCTGAGACTGATAGATTCTTGAAAAATAGAGGGATTAGGGGATATGGGGATAGGGCAGGTAATCAGAGTTAGGTGAGAAGATCAGCCATGATCTTATTGAATGGCGGAGCAGGCACGAAGGGCCGAATGGCCTACTCCTGCTCCTAATTCTTATGTTCTTATCACTCAGTGTGTAACAAGAGCATGTACAAAAATTAAATATAAGTAGCATCTCAGGAAACATTGTATGGAAATTAAACTAGGAGAACATTTTTACAATTTTACAATGTGGGTCAACACACAAAGTAATTTAGAGGTACGAACAAGGCTGATCACAAAGTGGAAACACTGCACAAGGGTGGTTTTATCGCACCATTTGTTTCCACCACAACAAGCTAATAATAGGAATGAGTGCATCAGCCAAATTCTGAATTGGGTTTGATTATACCAATTTCAGTTCCCTCCACAGCAATGGGCAAAGTTATTGACTCAAGCGAAACAAAAACACAAAGAGCCCTTGAAAGTTTGCCTCCAAGTCCTTACTAAATTAGCAGATGGCAATTGAGATGGCAAAAGGAGCACTATAATTAGCCTCGATACACTTGGGATGAAGAGAGGAGTGGCACATAAGGCTGAGTTTGTGCTTCTGATCACAATCTATGTATCCCTGCTAGGTGTGCTTGTTTGAAAGGTTGTGCATACGAACATCTGAAATTTCAGTCAACGTTTTGCGTTGACAAATGTTGGCAGGCAATTGGATTTCCCCACTAAAATCAGCATTTAGACAAGGACAAAATTGGCCTCAGCTATGATTTTCTCCACAGTTGAAAAGCCAGTTGATATGTAAGAATAATTCTTGCAGTTAATGCTTTATCACAACATCAAAGAGCTTCACCAGATTTTACTGTGAAGTGTAGTAACTGTATTGGGATGTCATCCCCTACGTGAAAGACGCTTTACAAATGTAACTTTGTATTGCATTGTATTTACAGGCAAGCATGACAGCCAATTTGCACAAACAGCTATGGAGTGAGTGACCAATTTTATCTGCTGAAACTCCCTACTATTTTCAAATGGTGTCATGGGATCTTTAACACCTGAACAGGTGTATGGTTCCTCGATTCAATGTTTCATCCAATATTCAGAATGAAATGGATTTAAAAAATGCCCATTACGTGAGATTGAGTGGACCAATAACATTTTTTAAATTGTAGTTCAGCAAAAGTTGACTTCAGGCAATAAAATGGTAAGAGGAGCAATTACATTTTTAAGAAAAATTCAGAACTGGGTCGATTGTACTCAAGCGTTGGAGACGCTATCTGTGTGGAGAGTGCTATATAAATGCAAGCTCTTGTTGTTGATTGTGGTTTAAATGGAGAACGGAAATGACCAAATTCCAATGTGGACTTGTCAACATGGAGGGGGATACTGAACTCTCTCAATTCCTCAAAGATTAGAATACAAGTGGGGAAATGTAGTCAAATTACACAGATTGAAATCCAAAATCCAAATTAAATTTGGGTTCCCCATCCATGTCCCTAGTTACAAAGCTTACACAGTTTTTTTTGGTATTAAGAGTACAGTAGAAGTATATGGAGGGGATACAAAACATCTTGCAGGACAATTCCGGAACAGTAAGTTTGTTTTATGAAAGCTCTGGCATGAAAATGAAACGTCTGCAAATAATTTCACAGACAAAAAGTACCATGTGGCCTTGGATTTAGGAACACTGTTTTAAAATTTAAGATTAAGCAGAATTTTGTTTGTAAATTCACTCTCAATTTGGAAGCTGTTTGTCTGCAGTTCTAAAAAAAAAGCCAGTTTCCAAATTAATAACTTTGCCAAATTCTATTTTTTTTAAAAAAAAAGAGTGCTATTAAGAGCAGCACAGTGGGAGTCTGCGGCTTCAAACTGTTTACACACCTCAGCTGTGTGGTACAATTCAAGCCGAAATGAGAGAAATACCCTTTCACTTAGGCATTTTGGCCTCATCTTTTTGAGAGCACACATTTCCTAATGCTACGAACCTTAAACAATGTAAACGGGCACAACCGAACCTCCTTAGAAACTCAAAAGTTCTTACCAAACCTACACAGAATAGATTTTCACAAAGCAAGAGATGCCAAGTCACACAAAATAGGATACCTGTGTAACTAACATCAGGCAGAGAGAAAACGCATCCCTCTGTCAACACCATTTCAAATGTCTCCACAGAACAGCATGAACAAGGTGTACCACAGGTAGTAACACTTTACATGATGTTCCAGAGTCAGGAGGGGGTCAGACATGAGATGAAAAAACAAGAGACACAAAACAAAGGAGAAAACAGTTTAGTTAATTAACTGCACAACAAAAAAAAAACTGATAACTTTTTTTCCAAAAATACTGCCTTAAAATTCTTCTCATCTTAACCACCGACTGGCACCAGGTGCTGCTAGAATGCAGTTGTCCATTGCCCACATAACTGATGTCAAGTGGCCAGAAGTCAACATTTTGCCAACAAACTCTTTGTGTGAGTTGTATCTATCGAATAGGCATTGTAGCAATTCTCCAAAAACATGGTTCATGAACTGTACCTCAAGGCACTTAAGGTAAGGAAGTTGATTTGTGAAGCACTGACATAGGGAGTTGCTCAGCATTGAGCAGGTTCTGGCAAATTGGAAATGGTGACAGAGAAATAACTGGCGATAACAGATCAATTAACCCGACCTCAATGATTGGAAAAGTAATTACAGAAACAAAATTGATTATCCATATAAGAACCAAATAAATTCTAGTCAGTGGCTTCAGAAAGCGAGGATATTGCCTGTCAAACCTCATGAGATGACATTGAAAATTGACTTTAGAAAGTCGTACGATGTGTACTTTCAAAAAACCTTTATCAAAGTACTACACAAGAGACTATTTAAACAGAGGATATCTTTAATGAGCGGGCTACATTGAAAGAAATGGAGGTGTGGAAGTATGGATATACTGTGCTTCACAGAATATATCGTGAAGTGACTGTATTTGTGGGCGAACTCGGCAGCCAATTTGTGCACAGTATTGCCCCACAAACATACAACCTGGTTTTGTAGATTCAGTACAAGGTAGTGAAATTTGCAGGTGAAACAGACATGCAAAGTTGGGGTGGGGGGGAAGAGAGAGAAGATAATTATGGAAGACTTACATGGAAGGCTCAACACCTGGAATAGTCTGTCATTGGTACAGTCAAATGTAAGATGCTATACATGAGAAGCATCTTTACTTCATGAATAGAACTTAACAGTGGGAAATTGAAAGAGAACTGAACTAAGGTTTAATCGACTTATTTCTCATGATGCCTAAAACATCGAGGCGACGATGAATGAGGTAACCTGGATGTTGAGCAACATTGCTATATACAATATACATATGTATGCAGCCTTTCCTGTCAGGATGTTAGGCAACATTGCCAAATACAATATATACTCTTATGCACTTGTATGCAGCCTTTCCCAAAGCAATTGTACCGGAGCCAAGGATCAAAATTAATTAAATTGAGATCCCCAGAAGCCATCCTCACAAACAATAGTGGACTCTGGTCAGACTGCACCTAAAGTACTGCGTAAAGTCCTAGTCAATGTACCATGAAGGTGCTGCCAAGACTGTTCTCACATGCCAGCACTCGTGGAGCCCAGGAATTTACAGGCCAACTCCTCCCACAAGGCATTTAGTGCATGATTGAGATTTTTACATACACCCCACCATTACAGTTTAATCAAAGGGGTGGGCACCTGTAAAAACTAATTTACGCACCAACCTCCCTCAACTTTAATTTTGATTTAGATACTGGAGAGACTTCATCACAATGCCGGGTAATTCTCTCAGAAGGAATAAAGAAAACAAAATAGTCAATCCCAGCTACAGACAACTTAAGAGTAGGCATCTACAAACTATATTGTGGACAGTGTGGTGAAGGTCTCTAAGGAGGTTAAAACAATACACTTGTTTTAAAAACAAATTTACAAGAATAAGTTTAAAATAAAATAATCCTAGTATGGCATGTCGGGAGGATATCTCAAAAGTGTTTCACATGACTTACTGTAAAATAGTGGCATTTCTGTTTCTCTTCATTAACCACCATA